GCAGGGGAGCCCATCTGTTTGCGGAATTGTATTCATATTCTTATCCTTTTCTTATTCGTATTGTTATTCTTAGTATTCTTATTTGTTGTGTTATTTTTATTGTTGTAATTCCTATGATTGGTCTTATTGTACTTCTTGTCGTTTTGAACAAGCTGTCGTAATTATTTTGTGCGTGTGCGGTGCTAAGATAACGCGCCGTGCGTGGCGGGGGCGATATCCTCGGATGCACTACCCCACACGACGGCCGGGAAAAACATGTTTTTTCAATAGGGGGGTAATAATAATCGTATAGAACATGGATGATTAAGATAATGAAAAAGGTGTGACTAATCTGCTTATTGTTATTCTTACTCTTCTGATTATTCTTGTTATTTTTCGGAGTATGATTGTGATTATTCTTCTTACTTTTATTATTACCCTTACTCATATGTTTATATTTGTTAATATTACTCTTACTCTTGTCCTTATCCTTATTGACATTATCATTATTGTTATTATTTTTACTCGTGTTTTCTTGTTATCCTTTCTATTATTCCAATTCTAATCGGGATACCACCCGAGCCAGGGTGCAGGAATTATTTATTTTCGTTCCATTTGCGCGGTGCTAATCATATCGTTCGGCAAACACCGCCCCCCATAATTATTTAATTACGGTGCGGTGCTAATGATAACCCTGGGGGGGTCCTTAATGGCTTGATGAGGTTATGCAGCGATTTCCAATCGCCCATTCATCGCCGCTAGGGGCCCGATAGACCACCCCGCTCAGGACTTGCGCATTCACTAACGGGGGCCGCTTGCTGATCAGTCGGCGATGTACGATTCCAGCTCGTTGCTTCCCCCACAGCCGGTCCCCTCCTGACGTACCCCCTCAAGGACATAAGCGAGGTGGAAAAGGACCGGCAGAAGTACGAGAATGCGCTGCTCAGCATATTGCCTGCCTGGCGCTCCGCGGAGACTCTCGCCAAGGATCGGAAGAGGAAGGTATACCGATACTGCTACCATTCCATCGTCGCCGCGGCTGGATTCGCCTCGACATCCTGGTCAGAACGCACCCCTGGAGAGGTGCCGGGAGTGGCTGTATCGGTATCTTGTTGTTTCCCCCTCAGGACTCGTGCATACAGGTTGAGTTGGCGACCCAGAAGATAGACTCGCTGGTCTGCCGGGTGCAGACCTTCATCCCAGAGGCTTGTGCCATCTCGCCGATCCCAGAGAGATGTGGCTTGTAAAGGCGTGCGTGCTTGCGTCAGAGGGGGCACTGGGTCATGAGTAAGGAGTAGGAGTCAGGTTGTGACCAACTTGGGCCTTTCTGGGGTAACCTGGGGGGCCTGGAAGTTGTGGTGGCCAGCTAGTAGACTCCCAGCCGAACGCAAGTATCTCGCACGCCGTGGCACCCGCGGCAAGCGGGGGCTGGCGGATCAGCCAGCCCGGCATCCCAGGATCCGACGCCGTGGAAGCGATCGCCACGAAGTGCGACGCGGAATCGGAGAAGAACGTCACCGCCGAGGGCAGCTGCCCAGAGAAGGTGCAGTCCGAAGGCATACGCGACGCCTTCTCTGGCTCGGCTGGCTTCATCTCGTACGCCTTCGCCCTCATCGAATACACCGTCCAGAACTACAGGTTCGTCAGCATAGTCATGGCCTGCGTCTTGCTGGCCATCGGCATCGTGCTCGCATTCGTTGGGTACTATGTCAAGGAGGGCGTCGAGTTCTTCCAAGGGTGCTGCGGTGGACTTGTGCTGTGGAGCATGGGAATATCCGTCATGGTCCTTTGGTATGACATGTGCCGCGGCGCCACCTTTTTTCCAGACTGCGACCCTCTCTTTCTGATGATAGTGGTGCTTGTGCTTAGCATCCTGAGCGGCGTGCTGACATGGAAGATGCATTGGGAGCGAGTGGAGGCATTCCTCTCCGGGTTTACGACTGGAGCTTTCGCCGGCGGTGTTTACTACATCATTATGTACCGTGATGAGCTGCTGGGGGGGTTCTTGGATGCCGACAGCGCCAAGCCCTACATGCTATCTCTGATGATCGTCATGGTCCTGGTGGGCTTGGTTGTCGCTGCGCTGACCCAGGTGCTCTTCCGGCAGCTGCTGATGATGGGCACCGCAATCGTCGGGGCGTGCCTCATTGTGTGCTCGTTCCTGATATTCATTCCGCACTGGTGGTCGACGTATGACTGGGTAGCCTGGGGCGTGCTGTCCGTTGCCGGCTACTTGGTTCAGCTGCTGATCACTCCTCCTGAGTACCTGCCTCCTCATTCTCGACTTCTTCCTCGTCGTCTTTGTCGCCGCCCCCGTCGTCGTCGTCGTCGTCGTCGTCGTCGTCGTCGTCGTCGTCGTCGTCGTCGTCGTCGCCGCCCCCGTCGCCGCCGTCGTCGTCGTCGTCGTCGTCGTCGCTCTCCCCCACCTCCTCCTCGTTCTCCTCGTCCTCCTCCTCCTCCTCCTCCTCCTCGTCCTCATGCTCCTCCTCCTCCTTCTCCTTCCCCTTCTTCCCCCTCTATCATCCCCTCACTTCCCGTGTCCTCCTGCTCCTGCTCCTCGTCGCCATGCAGGAACGGGTCCTGAGACAAATGGGAGCCGAACCCGTGGGCTTTTCTCATCCGGGGCCGTCCGTTGACAGTCCTGGGCCCCGTCTTCGGGCCCACTGGGCCCCAAGACGGCGAAACACCTCCCAGAATCCTCTCTTCCAGGACCCGCTTCCCACGTGCCAATCCAGCCTCCCCAGGTTCGAATACTAGTAATATCAATTAGAATAATAATACCAAGAGACATAATACTACTAATCATAAGAAACATAAGCATACTAATAAGATGAAGCATAAGCTCTACGCCTCTTAGATGGGGTCCGAGCAGATGGGGTCGGAGGATCTCGCCGCACTGCCGATGCATCGGAGATGCGGCTCGATGTGGAGCTGGATTTCTCCACGCCGACGGCGCCGATGCATCGGCGATGCATCGTCGACGTCGGCGATGCGGCGCGATCCTCCGACTCCATATGCTCGGACCCCATTTGGGAGGCCTCTAAAAAGACAGCATAGATATAAACTCGCGGAGATCCACGCGGATTTTCCGGAGCGGCGCCAGACCCCCCTCCCTAGCGTGCGGAGCGCGCCAGCGTTGGCGCGGGAGGCTCCGGCGGGGTGGGGCCCAGCGTAGATCCGGGGAATTCGCGCGGGGTTCCGAGAGTTTGTGTTTTTGCCGGTGGTTTGTCCCCCCTGCAGGTACGAGATGATGAGCAAGGAGGATCGGCGGCTGCCAGAAGGGTTCGTCGCACAAGGTTGGTTTCGCTGGACCCGAGGCCCCCCCCCCCATCCCGACCTGGGGCCCCCCCATCTCGACCCGAGGCGCCCCAGCAGCCGTCGAGGCCACCCTTCTCGAGCCAGACCTGCTCGCCGTTCCTCGGCCACGCGCAGAGGGGGGTGGGGGGAGGGGGGAGGGCTTCTTAGAAGCACCCCTGCTTCTAAGAAGCCCTCCCCCCTGCCCCCACCCCCTTGTGCGCGCCGCCAAGTTCCCGAGAGGAGATGCAGGAGTACAAGAAGAACAAGAACAAGGACGGGGGCAAGCTCTGAGGCGGAGAGCGGGGAGTGGGAGCGCCGACAGGTGGGGCAGCTGGCGCGGCCACGGCCACGGCAGGACGAGGCCGCCACGACGCAAAGGTGCCCCGAGGGAGCCGTGTCCTGCATCTCGGCGGCGCCTGCGAGGGGGTGGCGCGAGGGGGGCCGGCTTCTGCGAAGGCATGGTGGGCGGAGGGGGGCTTCGGAAGGCTGGGAGCCTGAGAAGCCCGCCCGGCTTCCGAGAAGCCTTCTCCAGCTGCTCTCGGGGCCTTCTGGGAGAAGCCCCTGCCTTCAGGAGTCCCTCCGCCTGCTTCGCAGGCCGCCCCCCTCGCACCACTCCACTGCGGGCGCCGCCGGACATCAGCGGACGACCTGTTTGCACCGTGCCTCGTTGGCGTCTTCTCGAGGCGTCGTCTTCCCTCGCCCCGTGGATGGTTCGGAGGGCAGTTTCTCGGCCCTTGGCGAGCTGAAAATCGGTGAACCGTGCCGCGTCGGAGCGGGGCCCGACGGGAGCCCGGACATGGTGCGGTGCACGGTCGGGGGTGGACAGACCTCCCACACTTACACGCCGATGAGTGCATTGGCCGTTCTCGTCTCGCGAGAGGGCGCCGCGGCCGTCATTTTTGCGGGTCCAGGTCCGTCGGTTTCGGTCCCAGGCCGCTTTCACTAAGGGGTGCGGTGCACGGTTGGGGGTGGAAAGACCTCCTACCCTGACACGCCGATCAGTGAATTGGCCGTTTTCGGCTCGCGAGAGGGCGCCGCGGCCGTCGTTTTTGCGGGTCGTCGGTTTCGGTCCCGGGCCGCTTTCACTAAGGGGAGGTCTGCTAAGGGGAGGCTTGTCCGCCGCCGGCACGGGCGCCGTTATTCGTGCTGCAGGCCCTCCGCAGTGTGCGACCCAGAGCGGGAGCCCTCCCCTGGCCCTGGGACCGTCGGCAAGCACGGCTCGGGAGGAAGACCTGTAGGGGACCACGTGCGAACCCTACCCCTGCCCCCCACGAGTTCTGAGGGGGAGGGTGGGGTTCGCTTCGCTCTGGAGCTCCTGGACAGAGTGACCCCCGCCCTGCCCCTCAGAAATCGTGGGGGCAGGGGTAGGGTTATGTCGGCCCCCTACAGGGGGATTTTCGACGAAAAATTAAAATATCTGAAAAACAGTCAAAAAATAGCACAAAAATAGTCAGGGGACTATTTTTGGAGTATTTTTGGATGTTTTTTTGGTATTTTGGGGGTATTTTTTTAATTTTTCGTCGGAATCCCCCTGTAGGGGGACACGCCCGACATGAGGGTAGGGCTCGCACGTGGCCCCCCGACCCGGCTCCAGGGGACGGCCCTCCGAGGGGTCCAGGACCCGCCTCCCTCGGCATCCGTCTGCCTCGCGCCAGCATCCCCTCGTCCTCCTCTTCCTCCTCGTCCTCCTCTCCCTCCTCCTCTCCCTCCTCCTCGTCCTCTCCCTCCTCCTCCTCCTCCTCCTCGTCCTCCTCGTCCTCCTCGTCCTCCTCCTCCTCTCCCTCCTCCTCCTCCTCCTCCTCCTCCTCCTCCTCCTCTTCGTCCGCCGACTCTTCTCCAGTCGTCCCTGCGGGGATCGGGCAGGGCAGATCGACGTGAATCGATGGTGCACCTCCAGGCAGGCCGAGGCAGCTTTAGAAAGCCCAGGGTTCGCGAGTGACTGGCCTTCCCCCCCCAAAACGAGGAACAGCTTTCCCAGACCCTCCAGAACCCTTTGAAAAGCCTCTTGGAACCCAAGCCTCTTGGAACCCTTCCCGGAGGGTCTTCGCAGGCTTTCGGGAGGGTTTCGGTAGTTTTGGAAAGGAGGCCAGTCCCTGGCGACCCCCAGACTTTCTAAAGGTAGATCCAGAGGTGTCCAGATCAAACTCGGGAGACGTCGCGGAAGCCCCAGCGCGAATGGAGGGGCAGCAGAAGTCGTTAAGCCTTGCACGACAACGCGGCCAACACGTCTGCTTGGTCATTCGCAAACCAGTGCTCCAGAGGAAAACTCGGGCCTACGGCGGAACGGTCTTGGCGGTTTTTGACTTTGACAAGCGTGAGGGTGCCCTCACCCGCGAAATCAGCCTGCCAATACTGGGCCCACATATCTGCATTACTTTCTATTTCCAGCCTGGCCATCGACTGGCTCCTTTACAGACATATGAGGCATCTACTACATATATTGCACCACCTGTTGTTGACTCCAGTGCTCGAATTAAGGCTAGCAGCTCGGCTCGGGGTATTGTCTGTCTCCAGCCTGCCATGGTTCCACGCCAGGAGACCAAGGCAGTTTCTCCACAGCAGATGGCGAAGGACCGCCCAACACGGCGCAAACGAGGATCTTCAGCATGCTCTCCCCCCGAGCCGTCACCGCCAATAATACTACATGCTGCCAACGTGAATATTTGCCTATTCTTAGGCCACTCTCCCTCCTTCCCCGAGCTTTCTTCAGGCGGAGGGGTGTCCGCAGGGGGCATCGTCCAAAAAATGTGGACTAGACCTCTGAGCCAAAAGCACGGGTAGGTCTCTGCACCTACCTCAGCCTGCTCACAAAGCTGTGCGTCTTCTTCTAGATCGGGAACGTCCTCATTGCAGGGGCATTCCCAAAGCTGATGGTCTGGGGTGTTGTCTGGTGCTCCGCACCTCGGACAAGCTGCGGTGCCTATCTGTGTACTGTCAAACCTACGCTGATTTTGCCACCAGGCTCCCTGACTTATCATTTCAAGGATCGCTGCTTCATGGTTTAAACCTCTGTTTCTTAGAATCTTAAGATGGGCCCGAGACGCAGTTCAATCCACCCCGTACTCCACCCCCGAGCCAGAGAATTGACTACTGGCTCGGGCCCAGCCAGTTTGCTCCAGGGAAGAGCCGACTTCAAAGTCGAGCCTATCAAGGCCCCCGGTGCCCTTCAAGCTGAATTGTTCCCCACGCGGAAGGGTCCATTCTCCTGGAGTGTCGAGAATCCAATCCATGTCTAGAAGAGTGGCCTGTGCAGCCGCCGTGTGACCTTTCGCCTGCAGCCAGCGGTGTTCGGCTCCGCGTAGCTTGGTCAGGGACTCCTGCCAGGCCTTGTCTCGGGAATCCCTGGAATGTGCTCCTGCCGGGCCTGCAGGAGCTCAAGAGGTCCCCCTCCTATTGGTGGGCGCGAGGCCCGTGGCGACGGCTCCCCAGGACACCTGCGGCCTGTGGCCAGTGTTGGCCAGCTGCTTGGCCGCCTTCGCGCTGTTGCCCTGGATCCGAATGGCGGTGGCTCGTCTGGCTCCCTTCTTGTGCCAAACTTTTGATGGTCCCTTGAGCCCTGCTCCGAGGTCTCGAGCTGACTACTCCATTCTGATCGGTGAACCAAGCCCTTTGATCCTCTTACTCAGTGCCGCTTGCGCACCAGGTGAACTGCTAGGCCGACTGACTTTTGGGATATGCAAAGTTCTTTGCTGTACATGAATGTGGTGAGCTTCGAAGCAACTTCGGTAGACTGGTCCACAACTCCTTCCGCCGAGCCAAGGTTTAGTTGAGCGAGGTCGTCAACCCAACTGCCGATGGAATTACGAGGTGAAGGATGAGAGCGATGAATAGTGTCTAAGATGTCCCATGCATATATTGTAGACCAGGCTGCGCTTTGCATGCGTCCCGCGCTGATTGAGTGCGCGACCCGGCGCTGTCGGATAATACTGAGCCTGCCGCCATCCAGCGGTCTGCCATGTGCTGCAGCATAGCAAGATACAGCAGCGCTAAAGGGTTTTCGAGATCGATGCCCAGGCCTGATAACACCTCCCCTTGGATGAGGTCGTACAGCTTTTCGGAATCCCAGAGAAGCTGCACCCAACTGGTATTTGTAATGCCGCATGTTTCCGCTTCCAACTTGCCGTGAGACTGCTGCTCGGAGAGGGCTGCTACCTTTCGCCGCTGCGTTTCAAAAGCTTGCCTTGCTTTGCTTCCGCGTCTGCGCAACTTGCTTGCGCATGATACTCCAGAGTCGATAGGGCCCTGGGGTTAAAGTAATAGGCCGATCTCCTCCTGGCGGGGGTTTCGGTGCGGGGGCGACGATGTTGGCGAGGGTTTGCGCTGGCCAACTTAGCTGGGCCTCCACTTCGCGGAACACATCGAGTAGCTGCGCATGCCCTTGCCCTGGTCGGAAGAGCCCTTGCCGAGGATTCCACGGGTCAGCGCCAAGACCAGCGTGCTCCTGGAACTACCGCATGCTCTTCTGGAGGCTTGCAAGTAGGAGATCAGGAAGAGGTCGCTCTCCCTGTTGCACTCGCGCTGCGCCTCGTAGACGCCGAAGCCACAACGGAACAAGGTTGTTTAATTAGGTCCTCCTCGTGTTCTCCCCCCATAGTTGAGATTACTTGTTCGCCTTGACCTCCATGACCTCCAGTGGTTAGATTATCCCCCCGTCCTCCTGCATCCTTCTCGGCGACCGAACTGGGCTCCTCCACCTGCCCTGTCCTGCGAGACCGATGCGCGCAGCTGCCCCCCGAGGGTACTCCGCTGGTGAGGAACCGCCGAAACCCCCAACTGTTCTCCTTCGTGGCGTCCGCAGAGTGCCGTTGTTAATACATGCTCCGCGTGCGGATCATGTATTAACACATGCAGGGATTCCGTATTAAAAACAACGATGAGTTCGTGCATACATTTATCCATACATTGACCATGTATTACATTCCCACATTTTCCCAGCATCCAATGTATTAAAACACACACTGCCCTGTAGAGACCTTTGCCAAGATCTCCTCGGCTGCGCTCGAAGCATCGCGGAGGTCCTCCTTTTGATCAGAGGGGGCGGTGCCCAGGCCCCGAGGACCTCCTGCCGCATGCAGTCTTTTTGCCGAGTCGGGAAACTGCTGTGCTGCATTGGGCAGCCTGCCGACAGTCAAAAACCCTAATAGGGACGCGCGACTCTGCTCGGGGTACCCCTGCGTCCTTGCTCTTCCTTGCTCCTTGCGTCCCTGAGGTTTTCGTCGCCCGCCGCCCTAAAAATCCCAGTTTCGGCTTCCAGGGGTCCTGCGTCCTTGCCGCGCGTCCTTATTAGGGTTTTTGACTGCATCTTCGCTCCAAAGGTTGAGCTGCTTGTGTATGGCCGTGCGATGTGCGTGTGCAGTACTACTGGTGCTCTTGTCAGCCACCATGTATAACTCCTGAAACCTGGATCGAGTACCTCCCCAGAAACGCACTTGCTTCGATCGTCCAAAATGTCCAGGCGGCTTTGCAGCGATCAGGTTTTGCACTTTGACTGCTGGACACATGCCTCTTTCGTGTGCTTCTATATCTCGCCCTGCTAAAACAAGCAGAACCTATTCCGCATGCATAGAGAAGCTCGCGTGCATGCTGCTGAGGCTGGTCGAAGAAGCTTCAGCCCAAACATGGTAATGTTGCGGTGCCTCGGCAGCGCCTACCTGCTGGTGAAAAGACTCACGCGGCAGATCTGGTCCGAACGCGTGCGGAAGAAGCGGGGTCACGGGTGCGAAGACACGGCCATCCAGGTTGTTCTGAGACCAGACCAAACTACTCCATATTCCCAGGCGTGGTACCCGAGGTCCCCGTTGGTCCAGCGAAAGCGTTACCAGAGAAGCTAAATGTTCCGATGCAATTCCATATCCCAACCTTATTCCGGCACCTCCAGAGTTGGTAAATTCACCTGGCGGTATATCTAAATTCCCGCGAACATAAGATGGCCACCCAGACTCCCGGAGCTCTTGAGGGGACATGTTCCAGTCCGCCATGGCGATGCAATGCTTGACTACAGTTAGCAAGTAACCAAGCTAGCTCTTCTAGGATCAGGCCGTCGGCGCCGACGACCCCTTCGGAGTGTTTCAAATAAGCTTAGACAAAAGTGACCTCGATGCCCTGGAATATGATTGTCCTGCCTGCCCATTTGGCGCCGAGAAACTGCTCTTGCCCGTCTGGCCCACGCCTGCGCGTATAGGCGACCCGCGAGTGGATGGTGGTCCTTGCTGGGACCCAGACGCCTCCATGCCCCGGGGCCCCTTCTTTGGCCGTCGGGGCCGCAGGGGGCGAGGTGGAAAGCCGTCCCGCTCTCTTGAGTTTCTTCTCTTCCAGGAGGGGAGGGCCTCCTCTGAGGTGAGTGTCGGCGCCCGCGTGGAGCAGGACATCTTGCATATGCTCTGCTGCTAAATGAACTCTGCCGCGCTCGTTCCACTTCGTGTAGTTAGCGAAGTAGAAACTGAAAACCTGCCCAGCGCCGCGGCGTTGCCGAGCATGAGACACTTGGTGGCCTCTGTCAAAGATGCTGATCAACCTGCTGAGCTTGTGTAAGTGGCGTTTTCAGGCTCTGCTGCCGCCTGGGACGCTTGAGGCGATGATGAATCTGCCGCCGACGATGCCGTGCCACCACCTTCGGCTGCGCGCTCAGGAGCTGCCTGGGTGGGTGCATCTTCTCCCCTTGCACGTGCTTCTCCTGCTGCGCCAGTACGACGACGCTTAGTGGCCATCCTGGCTTTGTGTTCTT